GGCCAAGTTTGTCAGGCCAAGGTTGCGTGAAATGCCGCCGACAGGAACAGCTGTGACGCTTGCACAATTGCGCACCAGATATCCACCCACGTCATCAGGTGTGTTCATCGTTGCACAACCCGGTGTCGTGTCAAGGCCAATACAACCCAACCTTACCAGACCAAGACAGTTGGACTACTCCCAAGACAACGAACAATCCAGTGAGGGGTCAAGTTCAAACGAAAAACTGGAGACTGTCGACCTTGACGAGATCATGAGAACCGCCGCTTCAGCTCCGTATGCTCCACAAACGCCACACATTGTTGCCAACAATACCAGCGCGATCAGGGAGACTGCCACTGTCATGGCTCAACAACTGTCTGACTTGCAACCACGAGGTCTTGAGCTTTGATTACAAGAATTGGGGCTTGTGAAAGGCGGCAATGTGTCCAATGGACATTGCTTGTTCGTTGCCATTGACTGCTGCTTGAACAAGATCCGCGAGCCAAAAGTTGACAGCAATGGCAACCTCAACGACCCTGCAGCTCAAGTCAGAGTCATGCATTTGCGTGATCATGCGGCCAACTTTGTTGTTCGAACGGAAAGAAATCACGCCATGTTCAGCAACATCGAGTACGTCCAGCAACAAGTCAAGATCAACAATTGGGACCTCAAGACAGCAGTGCGAGATTTCTTCATGAGGCGTGGTGAGGTTCAGCCCAGTTACCCGTTGCGCAAGATCTTTGGGGCTGCTCGGGTGATATTGGCTGTTATGCCAAGATACTCAAGATCGACATTTTCGTGTTTTCGGAAACTCCCATGATGCAAGACCCCTGGACGCTGGAAAAACACTTTGTGCACCAATTCACACCAAGAAATCTTCCCGGCCTTCGAGTGCATTTATCCCCATGAGTATGTGGAGCTCTGTCGTCTGTGGTGAACAGTGTTCAAGAGCCATCTTTTTGCTGTACACGCCAGGCCACTACATCCCCCTGCATTCGAAACTTTAAATACCTCATTACATTAATTTCATGTGTATGATGGAGTATGGAGGCACGTGTTATATTTTCTACTGGAGTTTGGTTGGAGAAGTCGAACTACGCTTTTCGGGTACAAATACCCCAGTATGATTGGTAAGCACACAAAGCACGTGGATTGTTTTGCACTTGCTTGTGTTCGTCTTGCGTGTCTCTCCACTTCTAATTTTGTTGGGAAGCACGCAAGCACGTGCTTTTGCTGTGAAGAATTTCCTTTTACAAGTACATCAGGCTTCGCACACAA